AAATAATGGGGGCAAAGTATTTCACAAGGGAAATTAGCTATACTATTTTTCTTTCGTCAATTTTTGTCCCATTGAATTTTCTTGACAAATTTGAACGAGATAACATTTTATTAATTTAAATGTTTCTGTACTCTTTTTTCCTTTGTTTAATATTTTTGTCTCATAGGATTTTTGACAAACAAGATTTTTAATGAAGCAGATATGTTGTAAATTAAACCCTTGTTTGGCATGAATTAAATTCTTGATTTTAATCTAAGTCAAAATCAAAAATCAATTTTAATCACACATTTCGTGGGCTCCACAAATTTTTCAACAACACGTTTTATCAATTTTTATCAAATTTACTAAAAACCTAATTTAATCCCCCCATTGGATAGGAATTAAATACTATTTGTAAATGATAACTGTATTCCATTAAGCCTAATTATATATTGAATATAGAGCTTTAATTTTAACTCTTTCTTAATTCTCTTGTATTGTTCTATCTTTTTCTCTGCTTTATAACAATATAATATTTTTCATATTGTGACATTACCTTGGTTTAAAAATTTTATTTGTAATTTAAGCTACACCCGAAGTGGATTGAACTTGTGTCTCTAAACCTAATCTTGTTGGTGTGACATACTAGCTAGTATTGGATCGAGACATTTGTTTGCCTAAAAAAATTTCAATTTTCTTAATAAATATTTTTTGTACATTGGAATTTCAACATTCTTGGAATATATATTTTGAAAACTTGTATGAAGATACTAACAAACATATACGATACACAGTACTCTAGTGGATTGAGATTGTTTCTTGCAACATTTTTAATACTATTCAATCCATAGACATCCACGATTGAATTAGGACTATTCGGGACCATAGTGGATAGAAATAAATCAATTCCACCAAACTCCTCCACCAGCCAATTAATTCAAATCATTATGCTAATAAGAAGCAAGGACCACCTAAAAATGATATATTTGTACAAATTGCTCAAGACATGTACATCGAGTATATTGTGTGTTAGAAATTATTAATGTTCCACCCGTCCCAGAAAGATATGTTTACTTACATACATTAAGAAAATTTAATAAATATAGTTGAAACTATGGATTTTACTTATATTTCATAAAATACCCTACAACAAATAATAATCATATCTTGGACAACTTCTTTAAAGAATTCTATTTTCAAGGGTAGAAATTTCTGAATAAAAATAAATTTTTATGTGGTTTCATAATGTTTTTCTAATTTCTAATTACACGTTCTCTAAAATAATCATTTTTTACTTTAAATAATTTCTCTCAAACAAACACTCAAGACTTGTTTGATGTAAATTTTTGAAAAGTTAAGTTTTTTGAAAAGTGTATGGTTAAAAAATGACAAATTTTATTTTATTAATACATCCCCCATTTGTTTTCCATTATTTGCCTATTAAAATGAAAAATATGACCGTTATTCATCACATCAAATCACCATATTTGACTTTTTATCTCTTGTATGGGGCCGATTATATTTTTTATTCTTATTTTTACATTAGCCCCCATTTGACCCCCATTACCTGAAAATGAAAATGGAGGGAATAATATTTTTTAGAAAAATGAGTGGTTGAAAAAGAAGGAAAAGTTTTCAATTTACGTGTAATATTATTTTATGGAAGATTGTGTGATTGAAAATATGAGAGAGAAAAATGTAATGTAATATAATTGAATTTAATGGGGATCAAACGGGGGCTTAATGTGTACTAAACGAGGCCACAATGTATGACTTTAGTTGGAAAAAAATTATCGGTAGTGCAAGTGGTATATAGAGGTGTACACACTTAGTGTTTGTTTGGTAGGGATTTTGATAATTAATTTTTTGAGCGTTAGAGATAAAATGGATCATATTTGTAGGAGAAGAATTCAAAAATGATCGCTGGAATAGTGAAATAATTGTCAAAAAATTAATTTTAATTTGTTTAAAATTTGTAACAAACAAGCGCTTAGGTACACCTCATTGTGTATCGCTAGATTAATTGAAAAATTATATTCTATAGAATTTGTACCAAACTGGACTTTAATCAAGTAGTTTAAGGGGGCAAGGGCACAATATTGATTCTTCAACCGCGTGGCATATTCAAATTCAAATTTGGTTACACGGGGAAAAAGTCGTATGTCACATGAGGACATGACACGTGTGAAAACAACCTTAAAATCTGGACCCCTAAAAACGTCGCCCTGCCCAAATTATCTGCACCAGACACAAAACGCAAATTAAAAAGAATCCAAATTCTTGGATAAAAAATTTCAAAAACCAAATCTTTAGCTTAAAAAGTTATCTAAAAATATAATTTTTAGATTTGAGTTCAAAGGCTAGCGAGAGAAGAAAATGGCAACACCTACGAGAAAGTCCCACACAAACACCTCTGATCTCCTGACGTGGTCAGAGGCCCCGCCGGCTTACACTTCTGCCACCGGAAATGTAACCCGGTTCGCCACTCGTCCTAATCAGGTATGCATCACGTCATTTCCCGGCCACTGACGTCATCCCATCTTTGCTCAAAATGTTAAGTTTTATTTATTTTTTTAAATTTTTTGAGTAGCCCTCGGATGGAATCGGTAAGGTGCTGTTTGGAGGTCAGATCTCTGATGCAGAAGCTGATAGCCTTAATCGAAGGTAATAAAAATGCAAATTGATTTAAAAAAAAAAAAAAAAGGTCCCTTGTTCATTTGGTGTTGATATACTCGTTTATAGCTAATGGATTGGATCAAATGCTTATTAGAGCTTTTGGAGCTTAAATACTTATACTAAATAGTTTTTTCTTTTTTCATTATTATTTTTCAAATTTTGTTCATTATGTTATGCCGTTCGATTTCCTTTCATAGACCAGTGTACTAGATGTTGTGCCATTCAATAATAGATTTAAGCAGTATTAACTGAAAGTGGATAAATTAATTACGAAAGTAGTTCCCGTATTCTTTTAAGGATTTTTGAATCCAAATGGAGTGCAGATGTGCATTTGGGGATTAGTAGTTGTGATTTTTAAGTTTTTAGGGATCTGTTGATGGAGTCAGATAATCCCTGTTTGGTTCTGGTTTTTCAACTTGACGTATTGTTCCTCCCTCGTTGGAGAAAATCTAGAGGAAAAGAACATGTTTAGAATGATGTTCAATAGGTGGATTTGAAAAGGAACCAGCGAATAGAAGAATAGAAAATGGAGTTACGACTTAAAATATCTCTCGTTTCTTGGCTTGTTAAATCTTCCCGTTGAAGGTCAAAGTTTAACAATCCTGTATTCTTGAGTTGTAATTATGCGCAAAATGGTCCAGTACTGGGTAACTTCCTCCACATCAAATTGTGATTTGGATTTACGTCAATTCCTAAGGTTGTTTGGATACAAACATTAAATATTTTCCATGATCATTAAATTCTAATTAACTATTGTATTTGCTACTTTCAGGAAGCCTTGTTCAGGGTATAAACTAAAGGAGATGACTGGCAGCAAAATATTTGCAGCCAATGGTGAAAATGGGGGATTGGAATCTGGAACTTCTGATAATCGAACATCTGTGCGCATTGTGCAGGTATTTACATTATTTATAAAGCATAGTTTGTGCTGAATAAAAGGAAATCAAAATACTCATTTTCTGACTCTTTTTTTTTTTTTTTTTTTTTTTTTTTTTTTTAAAAAATTTAAAGACTTTTTTACTAATTTTTTTTTTTTCATAATATTGAGGCTCGAGCTCATTATTTATTTATTTATTTATTTTAGTTGCCTTTGCATGCTGCCTTTTGTAATTTTTTTTTTTTTTTTTTTTTTTTTTTTTTTTTTTTTTTTAAGCAAGCTACGAATGGTTTAAGCCAGATTTCCTTTAGTACTGAAGAAAAGATTTCTCCTAAGAAGCCAACCACTGTTCCTGAGGTTGCAAAACAGCGAGAATTAAGTGGAACGATCGAAAGTGAGTCGGAGAGCAAGATTAAGAAGGCGCTGTCAAATGCTAAATGCAAGGAACTTAGTGGGAATGATATTTTTGGCCCTCCACCTGAAATTCTTCCTCGATCATTAGCAGCTCGGGCTTTGGAATCAAAAGAAATCAAAGATATGGGTGAACCTGCACCACGAACTGTACGAACATCTGTCAAAGTTTCAAATGTGAGTCAATTGATGTTTCCTCTTATCCTATCCACATGCTGTTTGTGCTCTTAGGTGCTTTCTTGGCGAAGCTTTTAATTGCTTATAAGCAGTAGGTCCTGAGAAATGTGTAGTAAAAAAACAAATAAAAGTTATGGGTATTGAGGAATGTGTAGTCAGAAATGATGTTTGACCAATTTATAAGCACTTAAAAGCACTACGAAACAAGCACTAATTGGTGTTTCTTCTCATATCTCGGCTTGAAATTCTTCGTGTGTTTTGTAGCCTGCTGGAGGTCCAAGTAATATTTTATTTGGGGACGAACCCATGGTCATGACTTCAAAGAAAATTCACAACCAGAAGTTTGCAGAGCTGACAGGCAATAACATTTTCAAGGGAGAGGTTGCTCCAGGTTCGGCTGAGAAGTCATTGAGTATGGCTAAGCTTAAAGAAATGAGTGGCAGTGATATATTTGCAGATGGCAAAGTCGAATCCAAAGACTACTTTGGTGGTGTACGCAAACCCCCGGGTGGCGAGAGCAGCATTGCATTGCTTTGATTTAGTCAATGGCTCTGAACTTCTCGCATCCCATTCTGGTTTTTATCTTTATTTCAGCTCAATTAGTGAGTTTTAAGGTTCCGAAGGATCAATAGTGTTTATTGTAAATTTACTGGGATGGTATATCTATAAAGTGTCGAACTGATCTCAAACGTGATGAATGTTGCTTGGGTACTGAACTCAGTTCCACTCTTTACTTTCTTCTTCCAGCTCTTCGATTTTGAGATGTGCTATTGAATCGAAGCTTTGATCTTTCTGTGTTATTTTTAAAAAGAATGTGGATCAAACAGGGCCTTAATGTAATTCAGTTTAACGTGAAAGTTATGTTCACTTGTTAAGGTAGATTTTCACGGTATTAAAATTAGTGTGAAATGATTAGATTTCCAGGTCCAACATAAGCAACATTTACAAGGTCAACGTTGAAAAATGCACTCTTCTTATCTTGCCAACAAGTTATCAAATTATTGCAAATTAAACCATAAGAAAATCTGGGTAAGCTCAATGAGAAACAGAAGTAATGTCATATAAAATACAGCAAAAAAATTGTATTTAATGACATAATTAAAAGTCACATAATGCAATATGTATTTCGTGCCATATGGAAGAAGATAGCTTCTCTAGGATAAAAATTTGCATCACTCAAGCATCGCCATCGCCAATCAAGGCAAGAGGCATTTTCTCTCAGTCACCAGATGTATTTCCAGCGATCGGCAAAACTAGTTGACTTCAGCTCGTGTGACAACAAAACGAATAAGAGCCAACTCGTTTGTCCCAGATTGTTGATAGCCAAACGAAGTGTTTTCTCAAAATATTCTATGGGATAAGCTAAGAACTTAATAGTTGCTTGGAACAAGATCAAGTACTACTCATCTTTGGGATCACCTTTCAGATCAAGATTCTTTACAAAACATTGTAAAGAAAACATATTGAAAATGGCATCTAAAAGAATTTTCATTCAGACATTGTAAAAGTGAAGAGAAAAGCGATTTCAAATGGACTCTTAAGAAGCAGGGCTTCGAACGTCGTCGTTTCATAATTCAAATGGCGGTTAAATCAGTTGGTCCTTCCTTTCTTTCCTCCACATTTAATTTCTGCAAGTGGCGTCTTCTCATTAGAGAAACGAAAGTGAAAGGTGACAAAATGTAATTTGAGATTATAACTAGCATATGTTAGAAATTCAAATCATATTCAAAATTAGATCCAAAAAATCCTAGATTAAAACAACTAAAATCTTAGGATCAACATCATGCCAAATATTAGGATTCGCGGATTCAGATTATAAACTTGTATCCATTATGAACAATTGCCTACTGTTGCGGAATTACTGCGACAATCGACCACGTACTGATGAACACGAACAAGGGAGGTGGTTTGTGATCTTCCTCAACCAAATCGCATTATTCCTCAATGGGATAGTCGTTTCTATTCTTGATGGGGAGAAGGGAAATTGTTATGCGATTTTGTATATTAGGGACCATAACCAAAATAATTTTTATATATTGCTTAATTAGGGTTCCCATTATCCCCCAATTAGAGCAATATATCCCGGTATCTACTCAATTATCCCATACCAATTTGAGTATTCTATGGGCATACTAAATTAGACCACTTAATTTCAGCCCATTAAATTAAATTAAATAGCAAATATAATTGTTTTTAATATGTTGCCAATTCTGAATTAGGAAAACCGTGGGTTTTCCTAACAATCTCACACTTGGCTACATATTATTCCTCAACCAATTATATTACAGATTCTTTAGGGGCACATCTGTATGCTATTTATCCTTAGACTTCTCTTTAAACAATCAGGTCCATCTCATATATTAATAATGGAACCATCGCAATTTTCATCACAATACAATCGTGATTAAACCACGATGATCACCATATCAATACACTTAATGACATAGATCAAATATGGATGAGTAGCATGGAGATTTACATGAAATGTGATCTCAAACATGCCTATTTCCAACTGATCCTTCTTTAATCTTTAGTGAGATCATTCCAAAGTCCCTAATGCAATGCGAACATTGCACATAGAACATGTAAAGCAAACATATAGAACATAAACCATCAACTTTATTCTATAGAAGGCTAAAGAATTCAATGTCTAAAACAAACATATAGTACATAAAATTGACTCCCACTAGGCCAGAATATCCTCGAAAATAACGCCCATGTGAGCAGTGTACTCATGAAAGACCTTAGGCGTTAAGCCCTTAGTTAGTGGGTCTGCTAGCATGAAATTTGTTCATATATGTTCTATAGAAATCTGTCTATCTTGAACTCTCTCCTTAACAACTAGAAACTTGATGTCAATGAACTTCGACTTTGTCGAACTCCTATTGTTGTTGGAGTAAAGCACCGTCGAGTTATTATCACAATAAATATTTAATAGCTTGTCAATGCCATCTACCACTCGTAGTCCAATGATAAAGTTTCGTAGCCATATTCCATGGTTGGATGCCTCATAACAAGCAATGAACTCCGCAGCCATGGTCGAAGAAGCTATGAGAGTCTGCTTAGCAGACTTCCATGAGATAGCTCCTCCAGCCAACATAAAGACGTAGCCTGATGTGGAGCACCTGCTATCTTGACATCCCGCAAAATCAGAGTCAGAGAACCCGATGACCTCTAAATCATCTGATCTCCGATAAGTAAGCATGTAGTCTTTTGTTCTCCTCAAATAACGCATCACGCATTTGGCTGCTTTCCAATGTTGCATGCCTGGATCACTCAAGTATCTACCCAAAACTCCCACTATAAATGCTATGTCGGGACGAGTACAAATTAGAGTGTACATTAGACTCCCTTCCACTGACGCATATGGAATCTTCTGCATCTCTTTTCTTTCAAGATCATTGTTGGGGCACTGTTTGAAACTAAACTTGTCTTCTTTAGAGATGGACGTGTCTCCTGGTCTACTATCTTTCATGCTGAATCTACTCAGAACCTTATCGATGTAGCTCTTTTGTGACAGTCCAAGGATACTTCGAGAACGATCTCTCAGTATCTGAATACCCAATACAAAAGAGGCATCCCCAAGATCTTTCATCTCAAATTTCTTCATCAGAAATTTTTTGGTTTCATGCAGTAAGCTTATATCGCTACTAACGAGCAGAATATCATCAACATATAATACCAAGAAGATATATTTACTCCCATTGAACTTATGATATACACAGTCGTCGACAACATTCGCCTCAAAACCGTATGAGGTGATGATTTGATGGAACTTGTGATACCATTGACAGAAAGCTTGTTGAGACCACGGATGGATTTCTTTAACTTGCAAACCATAGACTTTAGATCTCCTGACACAAAGTTTTCTGGTTGTACTGTGTAAATCGTCTCGTCAATGTCTCCATTGAGAAACGCAGTTTTCACATCCATCTGATGTAGCTCTAGATCAAAATGAGCCACCAGTGGTCCAGTGCCATTATTGTTCTAAAAGAGTCTTTCGAAGATACGGGAGAGAAAGTGTCTTTGTAGTCTATGCCTTCCTTTTGAGTAAAGCCTTTAGCGACTGGACGAATTTTATATCTCTCGACATTGCCCATTGAATCCCTTTTGGTTTTAGATATCCATTTACAACCAATGGGTTTCATTCCTTTAGGAAACTCAACGAGATCCCAAACGTCATTGTCTTTCATAGACTTCATCTCATCTTTCATGGCATCAATCCATTTATGAGAGTTAGAACTGCGCATGGCTTGAAGGAAGTTGATCGGGTCATCCTCCGTTAAACCAACGCCATCCTCATGTTCTTGAAGAAAGACGATATAATCATTTGGAATCGCATTTCTTCTCTCCCTAGTGGATCTCCTCAATGGCACTTCTTGAGGTTGTTGAGTTTGTTCTATAGGTGGTGCTTAAGAAAGAATCTCATTGTTGTTTTGGTCTAAAACAATGTCAAGGATAGGAGCCTGAGCATTGTCATCTATTGCCAGAACTGTGTCTTGAACAACAATAGGTACATAGACCTTATTGCTGTCAATAACAGATTCTTCTTCAAAGACAACGTTCCTTATGTTTCCTTCCCCTCCAAACTCAATATCCTCAAGGAACCTCGCATTTCCCGTTTCAAAGAAGGATCTTGATGTGGGATCGTAAAACTTATAACCTCGAGAGCGTTCAGCGTAACCAACGAAATAACAGCTAACCATCCTTGGGTCCAGTTTTCTTTCATGTGGCCTATAAGGCCGTGCCTTAGCTAGACAACCCCAAATGTGAAAGTACATAATGCTAGGCTTCTTGCCTGTCCATATCTCATAGGGGGTTTTGGCAACTGCCTTGCTCGGCACCCTATTAAGGATGTACACTGCGGTCTTCAAAGCTTCTCCCCAAAGTGGCTCTAGCAAGGAGGAATGTCTTATCATACTCCTTACCATATCCTTAAGAGTTCAATTTCGTCGCTCTGTAACACCGTTCATGCTAGGTTTGCCCAACATGGTATATTGCGGAACAATTCCACACTTATTGAGGAATATAGCGAAGGGTCCTGGACGTTGTTCTCCTGATCCATCATATCTTCCGTAGTATTCACCACCACGTCAGATTTGATAGCCTTTATTTTCTTTCCAAGTTGAAGTTCAACTTCAGCTTTGAAAGACTTGAAAATGTCCAGAGATTGTGAATTCTCGTGAATTAGATACAAGTAACCGAATCTAGAGTAATCGTCTATAAACGTAATGAAGTATTGATTTCCATTCCAAAAAGCAATAGGGAATGGGCCACAAATATCAGTATGTATTAGTTCTAAGACGTTTATAGCTCTCTCGGCACCTAATTTTCTCATATTTGTTCTTTTCCCCTTGATGCACTCAACACAGACTTCAAAGTTTGTTAAATCTAGGGATTCAAGAATTCCATCCGACATAAGCCTCTGAATTCTCCGCTTAGAGATATGACCTAAACGCTTGTGCCATAAAGTGACGAAATTTTCACTTAATTTTCGCTTTGTACCACGTGAACTTGTTTGCAGTATTTCGTTATAGGAACTAACAATATCAAGTATGTACAGATTATCAATCATATAACCGGAACCAACAAAATTTAAATTTTGATAGGGACGAACTTTATTATTTCCAAATGAACAGGAAAATCCTGATTTGTCCAAACTAGAAATAGAAATTAAATTCCGTCTAAAGGATGGTGCAACAAATGTCTCAAACAAATCCAAACAAAATCCAGTTTTTAACTGTAATCTGAAAGTCCCTATAGCCTCTACCATAACTTTATTGTCATCGC